GAAAGGGAGTTAAAAGGGAAGTTCACAGGTAAGTAGATGAACCTCCTCCTAATCCGGCTCCCAAAGATCTCAGCCATACCGCAGCCGAGGTCAAGAAAAGTTCACCGTGGTGGGCTACCATTGACTTTCTGGACTGGAAAGATTTTCGAAAAATAACAGATTGCTGAAAAGCGAAGTGCACTGTTGGCAGGCGGGGGGATCGGGGCGAGGAGCTAAAGGAACCCAGTGGTCTGCAGAAGCTAAAATGTGCATGATTTCACAGGGGCACCCGGGATGGGACCTCGAATGTCCTGCAGCTGCGGGAAGTCGGAGGCGAATCGAAGTGGGCTGAGACGAAGAAAAAGTGACTCAAGTTGTCAGAACCAACCGTGAAGGCAAAGGAAAGAGTGGCAAAAAGCGATTTCGGGGGTAGCGGTTCGAACTGTGGCATGATCCCGATTTTAAGAAGGAAAAGGTACTATGTACACCCCGCACTTCGCCCTGTGAGCAAAACAAAAAGAAAAATTCCCGTGGATTTTACTACGGGGTCATGGTGATGCAATTCCGCAGCCACATTTTAACAGGCAGATGGCTTTCTTCATTAAATATGACGCATTTCCTAGAACGATAGTTCAAGATAAAATGCCAGTTCAAATATGCAAAATTTTTTATCCTGTTCCGTGATATCCTTAGACCGTCCATGGGGAGCTTTGCCTGCAAACGCAGCCTGTGTGTTTCCGAACACAATGGCATCATCCAAAAATACTTGAACTCAGCGCACAAACAAACAAACATTGAATAAAGTTACAAACAAGATTAAGGTTCAAGTTATTTGTCCCTGTAGCAAGGCGTCAATTGTCCTAACAGATGTAGGGACGCTAAGAGGATTTAAACCACGCGAATTTAATAAACCAGATTAGCAATAGGTGCTTTCCACAAATGCCAGGATCCGTAAAGTAAGTCTAGCCTAAATCACCCATCAGACCGGAGCATCGCCCACAAGGAGTGCAGAAAATTTCCGAAGGGGTCCAATAGGATTTCGTGCAAACACGGCTTGTTTCCCCCCAAAAAACTTTGTATTTGCATTAAATCTTGCGCTAGGCGCACACGCGCGTACAGAACAGTGGGTTAAGATCCCCGGTGGGATATATTCTTGAAATCTGAAATATTACCTGTTGTGCCATCCGCTTTTGCAAGGCTGTGGAAAAAGAGAGAGAGAGGGAGCGAGCGAGCGAGAGAGGCATGTCTCAAAGCCAGCAAAGGACTAAGATGCCACACTTCGGAAAGGCTGATTGAAAACAGACTCTTCTTAAGTTTTAGAGGATTTTCTCTCGCACTCCCTCCGAGGGCTAAGAAGCCGATTTGGGAGTTTGAAGGGAATAGGTTTCAGCGTCCATATTTGTTCTGGTGCACTTGTAAAATGCGATTTGAAGAGGATCTTTAGCCCTCTGATTGTCTTTGTATTGTTTTTCTTGAAACGGATCTTTTGCCCTTAATGAATCCCCACACAGCTGGACAGCTCCTGCTCGGACACTGAGAGCGCTAACCCCAAACTGACCCCAATTTGACACCACAAGATGAAATTTTACCGCCTGTTAAAACCATTTCCAGCCTCGGCAAAAGGAGCTGGCTGTTGACTGAGATGCACTTCCATACCGGACACCTCATTTCTCTTTGGACTTTTGAGCCGATCTAAAAAAAAA